CACATGCTCACTAACTATATAATGTTGAGTAAGTCACTAACTGCCATATGCCTCAGTTTCTTCAACTTTAAAATGGGAATAAAAATAGCCAGTACCTCGCAGGGTTATTATGAGGATTAAATGAGATAATATTAACGAAGTGCTTAGCACTGTGCCTGGCACACAGGAGGCACTTAATCCATGCTTTTCCCGTTGTTTTCTCTAGTGATCTGCAGGAGTTATCAAAAGAACTAGGAGTCTCCTAGTAAGTCAGGTTAACCTCCTATAGAGGAATGATGGGAACATCTGGTTGAGATGACATGGATTCATGAGATCACAGATCAGTCAGAGTATTGGAGCACTCTGGCACCATGGCCAGTAGAGGACCATGGGAATAGACAGAAAGTCAAGGCTTGGGAGTTTAAAAAAAGGGGGGAGGGGAAGTTTTAAACAGGGTGCTAAGTTAGACATGGGGCATAAGGTCAGTAACTAGAGATTACACACATACTGACAGAGGCCAAGGAGGGATTTCTAAACCAGATGAGTATTCATAAGGCAGGAAACACACAGGTAGAAACGATAGCATTTCACTTACACAGCAATTTAAGGTTTATAAAATGCTTTCCTCGTGGTTATCCTGTGAGGAAGGTAGTAGTAGTGGTAGTAGTGGTAGTAGAAGTAGTGGTGGTGGTGGTGGTGGTGGTGGTGGTGGTGGCAGTAGTAGTAGTAATACTGATAATAACAATAGCTAACATTTATATACAGAGTATATAATATAAAGCGTAGATGGGGCAGCTAGGTGGCACAGTGGATAGAGCACTGGGTCTGGAGTCAGGAAGACTCATCTTCCTGAGTTCAAATCTGGCCTCTAGATACTTACCAGTCGGGTGACCCTGGGCAAGTCACTTAACCCCATTTGCCTCAGTTTCCTCATCTGTAAAATGAATTGGAGAAGGAAATGGCTAACCATCCCAGTATCTTTGCCAAGAAAACCCCAAATGGGGTCATAAAAAGTTGGACGTGACTAAAACAACTGACCAATAACAGCATATGCAGAGCAACTAGGAGGTGGGGTGGATAGAGTGTCAGGCCTAGAGTCAGGAAGGTCAGAGTTCAAATCCAGCCTTACATACTTACTGGCTGGGTGTCCTCAGGCAATTTGCTTACTTTTTGTTCATCTCATTTTCCTTGTCTGTAAAAAGGGGGTAATAATAATGCCCACCTTATAGGGCTTTTGTGAGGCCAATTAGAAAACACTTAACATAGTGCCTGGCATACAGTTGGTGCTATACAAATGCTAGTGATAATTATTTCTTTTTTTCACACTCCATACTGGGTTCTGTCAGATAGCATACATGAGCCTTTGAAAGTCATTTAGAAGTTTTAGAAATAAATGACTACTGCTGAGCATGTTCCTTGGCTTTATATAAGCTTCCCAGTGTACTTATAGACGTATTTAGGCTTTAGAGAATAGAGAGTCAATTAGCTATTAATAATGGCTAGCACTTATCTGGCAAATTCAGATTGGTGAAATACTTCAAAAATATTATCTCATTTGATTCTCACAACAACCCTAGGACAGTGCTGCTGTTTTACAGATGAAGAAACTGAGTTAGGCAGAGGTAGAATGACTTGCCCAGGGTCGCATAGCTATTAAGCGTCTGTGGCCGAATTTGACCTCAAGTCTTCCTGAACCCAGCTCCAACACTATCCACTGTGCCACCTGGCTGCCATGCATTAAATTCAATAAATATTTAAGTACTTAAGAGTTGTAGGGTACTGTTAGTATCTGACAATACACAAACGGATCATATACAGTATTGATGGGTAGGCCAAATTATCCATACATTTGTTGTTACTCTATTATGATCAGAACAACTGAAATTCTTAATTTACCTTAGTGATATCTTGATCCTTGAAGCAATGGAGTAAGGAAAGAGATAATACTAGTCGAGTGCTTAGCATAGTGCCTGCCTGCTGCATAATATGTTTTTTCCCTTGTTTCTGCTATTCCGGGTTTGATGCTTATCAGTGAGATAGAGTTACTCACTGATGTAGAAATGATGAGAAATTTGGGAAGAATTCATTATTCCATTTTAGAATTCATGAAACATCAAGGGGCTGAAACCTGAGGATAGACTGATACACGCCCTTAATCTTGGAAGAGTAGATTTTGGAGTTCAAAGAAAGGAAAGGTAAAGTTTAATGGCCTGTGCCCATACATACACACATTAATACATATGTTTATGTATACATACGTACATACATACAGATATATGTATGTCTATACACATATAAACTAGAGGACATTGAATACTGGGCTAAGAAGGATAGATTTCATTTGGTAGGCATTGGGAACTAAGGTATTTTGAATGGGGAACAGACATGATTAGAAAGATGATGACTTTTACCGTAATTTGAAAAGCCTTGGTGGAAGTAGAGAGCTTGATTTCAGAGACATTGAAGAAGGACAGAAGAATCAATAGAACTTGACAAATGATGGGATGTGTGTGTGTGTGTGGAGTATGGAATAAGGAAAAGTCAAAGAAGGCAGATCGGAGGAAGATGGTGTCGTCAAGAGAAATATAGAAATGGTGCCTGGCACATAGTAGGTACTGAATAAATATTGGTTTAATTGAATTGAATTGTTGATTGGATTGAAGGGGGAGGTACAATTTTGAGGCACGGAGATCAGATAATACATTCATTTTTGGATGTACCAATATTTGAAGTGTTGGTAGTATACTTAAACTCAACACTCATTGTCTTTCCCCCACAGTCTTCTCATTTTCCTAACTTTCCTATTACTGTGAAGGGGACCACCATCTTCCCAGTCATCCAGGCTCATAACTGAGGTGTTATTCTCTCCTCCTTATTCTTTCTCCATATCCAATTTGCTGCCCAGTCCTGTCAATTTTATCTTCATACTATCTCTCTTACACCCCCTTCTCTCTGATACTGTCACTGCCTTGGTGCAGACCCTTATCACCTCACACCTGGACTATTGCAACAATCTACTGATTGATCTCTAGGCCACAATCCCCTCCACACTCTAGTCTGTCTTCCATTTGGTTGGAAAAGTGATCTTCCTCAAGAGCAGGTCTGATCATGCCACCCCTCTAGAGGCTCCCTATCGACACCATAATCAGATATAAAATCCTCTGTTTAGCAATCAAAGTCCACTATAATCTGGCCCACTCCTACCTTTCCAATCTTTTTACACCTCATTCTCTTCCATATAATGTGAGATCCAGTGACGCTGGCCTCCTTACTGTCAGTTGAACAAGATACTCCATCTCCTGATTGTGGGCATTTTTACTGGCTGGAATTTCTAAGCATTTCCATGCCTAGAATTTCTCCCTCTTTGTCTCTCTCCTGGCTTCCAATAAGTCCCAGCTGAAATATTACCTTTCACAAGAAGCATTTTCTGATCCCCCTTAATGTTAGTGCTTCCCCTTTTGGGGGGGGAGGGGATTATCCTGTACATGTCTTATTTGTTGGTTTCTGTGGTGTCAGCCCCAGTAGACTGTGAGCTCCTTGGGAGCAGTGATTTTTATATTTTTTTTTTGTCTTTCTTAGTGTTATCACTACTTAGAACAATAAGTGGCACATAATATGTTCAGCTTTTTTTAATGTTGTATCTGACACTTTGTGACTCAATTTGGGATTTTCTCGGCAGGAATATTGGAGTGGTTTACTGTTCCTTCTCCAGCTCATTTTATAGTTGAGTAAACTGAGGCAGACAGGGTTAAGTGACTTGCCCAGGGTCTCACAGCTAGTAAGTGTCTAAGGCTGGATTTTGAACTCACAAAGATGAGTCTTCCTGATTCTAGGCCCAGCACTCTATCCACCACACCAATAATAAAGGCTTGTTGATTGACAGCTAGATGGAAAATTCCAGCAGGTAATTAGAAATGGAAGAAAAGATATTTCCAGTCAGGATTAGGGTGAAAATTTTTGAAATCATCTGCATAGATGTGATAATTAAAACTATAGGAGTAGAAAAGAACCATGATGTCTTCATATCTTTGTGGAACATTGGGTTATAGATGTAGAGCTGGGATTTGAACTGGGGTCCTATGGATCCAAGTTCAGTCTTCTTTCTACTGTACTTTGCAGTGATGATTTGACTGAATAATAGAATCAAATCCTCAGAATAACAAGGACCCTGACCTCAGGCTTTTATTTTGCCACCATAATATAAATTTGTAGGATCGTCTGGGTATTGGGATTGAAATAGAATGGATTTTCCCATAGTTTTGGAAATGTGGCTATGAGTCATCAAACAGCCTTCTCCTGCTCTGCTCATGGAACAGTCTGTTAAGATGACTTTGCTTACCTTTTCTACCATTCGTATTTTATTATCTTTTTACTACTTTATTTCCCGTGTCTGAACAGTGTTCTTTAAGCTAAAAAAAAAAAACCACAACCTTCCAGATCCTTCCTTGTAGGATATAAATCTTGCCAAGCCAAATCCCAATGAGAGAAATCTGGTTTGGATCAAAGTTACTAAATCATCAATATGGACCTTCCTCCAAAACTGGAACCAGCCCAAGAAGAAGTCATGATATATGTAGGAGGCCAATCACCTATAAAATTCTTAATTCTTCCACATTCTTGCTTCACTCTTGTGCTGACAGAGGAATCAGAGACCAATGGTATGAATACTGAAAAGCAGTTTAAATGTAACTCTTACATCTCTATTCCTAGAAAAGTTTGGCTAAGGCTCTGAACTTTGGAAAGGGCCTGAGGACCTGGGCACAAATCTTCTCTTTGTCACTTCTTTTTCAACCTTGAGCAAATCACTTAAGTTCCCTGGGCCTCAGTATCTTTATCTGTAAAAAGAGAAGATGGAGTTTTTTCTTGCCTCAGTTCTGCTGGATACTCTGCAGTTGAACTCCTTCACTCATGGTGTCCAGTGTAAGGGAGAGAGCCTTGGGGTCTTCTCCTCACTGAAGCCATGAAGCCCTAAAAAATGGAACTCTGTCTTTTACTTCTGTGTTTGTTGTTTTCTCTTTTAGGTCAATGAATTGGAGTCTCTGATTTCTGAGTTTTGAAACATCAGAGGAGTGAGCTACAGGACTTGGGAATCCAGGCTGGATTTGGTAGCCAATCCAACACCAGTGTCGTAAGAACCTTGAGAATGACCTTTTGGACCTGGACCAGAGGTGAGATGAGGACCTATCCAACAGGACTGCTACATCTGGAAATGAACTTGGTGGAATCAATGCTTTGTAGGAATTAAGCCAAATTTTGAGTATATTCCCTGAGATGAAGGTCCCATAAGGGGAGATTATTCCTGCCCTCTCTCAGGGTTTTGGGGAAAAAAATGCTTGAACATTTGTTCTTGCTATATGTTTGAAATAACTATTTCTTTGGAGATAGACAGAGAGAGTCACAGACATGAGATGGCCTTTGAAGTCCAACCCCTCTGGTTATTAGATCTGTATTCCTCTGTTCCTGAGGCCCCAGCACCTACCCCAGTGTAAACATTTCCCTCTGATAGTCAATACAAGGTTGGAGTTGGGAATTTTCCTCTGTTTCCTTTATTTTTAAAGGGATGGTTCTCAAGGGTTATCCTAGAGCCATGGGTAAGAGAACCCTACCTTCAGAAGGCCTTATTGGTGAACAAGTTCTTTGGCCAGGGAACAGAGGAAGAAGTGAAGGATATTGGGAAAGTGTTTATGTAAGAACCCCCCCCCCGGCCTTCCTGAATGGTTTGGTGTGATCCACAGATCACATGCTGTAGTTAGCAAAGCTGCTGCTTTATCTTCTGAAGTGCACTCTCAAATTACACTTATCAATCCGAGACAGACATAAGGACAATGATCTGGGTTGTTTATCAAGATCATGCCATAGGAAGAGCCCATTTCCAGCTTTTCCAAGCTCTTTTATTACCAACATGCCTCATTCTTCTCTGGTCCTCCTAGTCACTGTGAAGACTGGGCCACAGGCATCCCTGCCTCATTCCTGCTTTCATCTTGCAGTCCTGCCATTGAATTCCTGCTAAAACCTAGATTGATGAGACAGTTTGGTGCTGATAACTCAGAAACCCAACTGCTCTCTTGGGTCTTGGGCAGGGTAATGCCAACGACGTCTTCCACTTCTGTACCTCTAATCGGCTGACTCATTTCCTCTGCCTGGACAGAAAGAAAAAAAGACTGACTGGCCAAAGCACTTTCTATTCTTACTGAATGTATCTGGCTCAACTCCCTAGTAAGATAGTTCTGACTGAGAACCTTACTTAGTGACAAACTTTAAAAAAAAAAACAACTCTTTCTATTTGATAAAGTCCTTTGATCACTGGCTAGAGGTGGAGCTCAGTTTTATTTTGATTGACTTTGTTAATGCAAAACCTCACCTTAAAAGGAAAATTAGATTCATTTTGTAATCTCTCTCTCTCTCTCTCTCTCTCTCTCTCTCTCTCTCTCTCTCACACACACACACACACACACACACACACACACACACACACACAACACACATGCACGCGCACACACACTTTCCCAGCATTCTTCACGTTTCCCTCTGTTCCCTGGCCAAGGAACTTGGCTTTTGCAAATACAGCGTCCTGAAGGTAGGGTTTTGTTGCCCACAGTCTTCTAATGCTGTAATGACCCCTGAGAATTGCCTGAGTCCTGAAGACTACTCAGGCTGGGTTCTGTTTCTTTGTGTATATTTGCTTACTTAACACATTTATGTTCTCATGGTAAAGCGGTCAGAGAGCCAGAACACCCTTTTCCAGAAAGAGAACAGACTTTTGAAATCGTGTGTCCTATTTTAGGAGCCTTGCAGACCTCTTCTACAGAATACCTCATGGCTCGGCCCTGGGGTTTATCGATGGCGGCGTGGCTAGTTTCTCTGCTGGATTTCTCTGGCTATATTTCTCATCTGGGAGACAGGATGTTACAATGGAAATAATGCTGAACTAAGAATCACTAGTCCTTCTTGCTGTTGTTCAGCTGTTTTTCAGTGTTTCTAACTCTTCATGACCCCCTTTTTGGAGTTTTCTTGGCAGAGATATTGGAGTGGTTTGCCATTTCCTTCTCCAGCTCATTTTATAGATGAGGAAACTGAAGCCAACAGGGTTAAGGGACTTGCCCAAGGTTAAACAGGGTCACAAAGGGTCTGAAGCTGGATTTTGAGCTCACAGACTCCAGGGCCAGTATTCTATCAACTGTACCACCTATGTACCCAAGACCTACATTTAAATCTTGGCTTTGCCTCTTATAACCTAGGTGACCATGGGCAAGTTATTTAACGTCTCTGGACCCAAGCTGTTTCATCTGTAAGAGGAAGGGGATGAATTTGATGACCTGAAATTCCTTTATACCCATAGACCGTCATGGTTTGGGGATCTAGGTGGTTCAGTGGCTACAGTTTGGTTCAAATCCTACTACAGATACTTACCAGCTATGTGACACTGGGCAAGTCACTTAGAAACTGAGACTCTCCCAGTCTCAGTTTGCTCATCTATAAAAATGGGGAAAATAACAGCATCTCCCTCATTAGGGTCATTATGAGGTTTTAATATTTATAGAGTGCTTTGCTGTGCAAACTTTAAAGCCGTATGTAAGTGCCAGGGAGGTCTTGAAGACTTGGTGAGTGGTGCAGCGGATAGAGCGCTGGACTGGGCGTCAGGAAGACTCCTCTTCCTGAGTTCAAATCTGGCCTCAGACACTTACTAGCTGTGTGACCTTGGGCAAGTCACTTAACCCTGTTTGCCTTAGTTTCCTTACCTGTCAAATGAACTGGAGAAAGAAATGACAAACCACTCCAGTATCTTTGCCAAGAAAATCCCAGATGGGGGTCACTATAGAGTGGGACACAACTAAAGTGATTTAACAACAACGAATACACAACTTTAAGGTTTACAAAGTGCTTAATGTCTATTTCTACGCTTGTTTTTCACCACAGCCCCTGTAATATAGGTCGTGCAAGTGCTGACCCATTTGATAGATGTGGAAACTGCTTCAGAGAGGTTACTTCTAAGTGGCAAAGCCAGGATTTGAATCCATATTTTCTGACTTTAAGCCCATTGTTCTTTTGATTATCTCACTCTGCTTCCAGCTGGGAAGTAAAAGAGGAGCCTCTTTCAGCCCCCTTTACCTCTTTCTGCCCTCTTGCCCATGCCAAGGTTTAGATCAGGAGCTCTAAATTTTATTCTGTTATCTCTCTCTCCATCCACTCATTTCTTTTCTTTTTTGTGGCATGGTGAAACCTATGGAGCCTCTTCTCACAATGGTGGTTTGTAGCCTCCATTCCTGACTGACAGAAATGCTAACTTTCAGTGAGAAGTTAATGAAAATAAAGCTGCAGGTTTTTTTTTCTCATACTAGACTTAAGGAATGTGTCCACAGACTACATGGACCTCAGGTTAACAATCCCTGGGTTAGAATGTAAGCTCTGGGTTGTATCCTTAAAGCTTTGCGCAGTGCTTGGCACACAGTAGAAGCTTAATAAATGCTTGTTGATTGATTGATTAGTGTTAGGGAATGAAACAGAGATGAAGGACACCATAAAAATTGTCTGGATTCATAGATCACCTCTGGCCCAAAACAAATACTAAAACAAAAAAATCTCCCGGCCAGTCTCCTTCTAAGGGATTTGGCTTCTAGGATTCTTTCATTGTCATCTCCATCAACAAGTGTTTATTAAACACCTACTATGTGCCAAGAAGGGTGCTGAGTACTGGGAATATAAAGAAAAGCAAAATGGCAGACCCTGCTTTCAAGGAGCTCAGAATCTAAAGGAGGAGATAAGGTGAGACAAGTATGTGCAAACAAGATATATTTGGGATAAATTGGAGAGGCGCTGGCATGAAAGGGATCAGGAAAGGCTTGTTGAAAAAGGTGGGGTTTTAGCTAGAATTTAAAGTCAGCCAAGGAATCCATGAGGCAGAGATGAGGAGGGGGAGTTCCAATCCTGTAGGACAGTCAGGGAAAATGCCTGGCTTCGGGACATGGAGGGAGTACCTTGAGGGAGGGAAAAGCAAGGAGGCCCGTGTCAAGAAAGGCTGGCTTGAAGTGGGAGGAAGAAAGTGTCAGAAGACTGGAAAGTGAAAGGGTAAGGAGGGTAAAGGTTAGCAAGGGCTTTGAGCTCCCTGGAGAGTAGCTGATATTTGATCCTAGAGGTGATAGGGACTTACGACTCCCACATCAGTTAACAAGTACTTATGAAGGGCTTAGTATAGGCCAGGCAGTTAGGAAGAGGAAGATTTTTTTTAAAAAAAGTGTAACAATTCCTTCACTTGAGAAGTTTACATTCTTTGGGGAGGCATTGTAGCACCTTAGATTGTAGGTCAACAACTCCTAGGAGAACCCTGAATCCCAATGGCGGAGGGAAACAGTGCCTCTGGCAAAGCTAGCTTTCCAACTGAATGCATATACCAAAGTGGATGGTATATGACCTAACAACACTTCAATTCTTGGGTGAGCTGAGAGGAAGGGTGGGGGAGGAGGTGGAGAGAGGGGACATAAGGTTATCAAAAAAGAAATAAGGAACACTGGGTGCTTTTTATTGTTCTCCAAACCTGGCCTGGGAGCCGCCAATGACCCTTGTGAAAACAAACAAACAAAAAAAAGATTAAAGGGAAGCCAAAGATAGAGATCTTAACAAAAGATCTGTTAGTCAAGACATTTTGTATTTGATATTTTTAGGTCCCCCTTGGCAGGAGACAAATTCCTCTCCTGTTTTTTTTCTCCCTTCTCCCCTCCCTCTTGCTCTCATTTGTAAAGCAAAGGTTATCTCGGGGCCTTCCCCTCTGATTTAACTTGGCCAGAAGACCTTGGATCCATTTTACCAATATCTTTTTTTCCCCCTTTTCTCTTTAATTTTTGAAACCGCAGGTATGATAAGGGAAATTTCTTCCATATGTTATTGCTTCATCTGTGCTTACATCATTCAAATGTTACATCTAGAGACCGTTTTGATGTCCAAGGTCCTTGAACTTTATCAATAACAATAATAACAATGATAATAACTCACATGCATATAAGCTTTTAAGCTCCACATGAGATTTGAATGTATTTCAAATACATGGATAAGGATGTGTGTGTGTGTGTGTGTGTGTGTGTGTGTGTGTGTGTGTGTGTGTGTGTGTTTCCTGTCTCAAGAACAGGAAGTCATGTTTTGCCTTGAGTTAACGGAACTCTCCCACCAAACGACTTGGGCTCTGTTCAAAATTCCCAACACGTGAATTTTGAGTGTCCTCTAAAAATGTAGTCTGTCCTTTCCTTTCACCACAGTGTTCCCATGGTAAACATATTAAAAGTAGAAATACCCCACGTGTGGGACAAAAACTCTCTAAACCTTACTCACTTTTTTGAATGTGTTCAGCAAGTTGGGAAAACATCTGGATGAGGTTGCTATTTCATTTTCGTTGGTTTTTTTTTTAATGCATTCATTAATACTTTTACATCTTAAAATAAATTAATGGCCTTTAAGCCCTTTGCACAAAAAAAAAGAAAGAGAAAAGACTTCTAACTTGACAGCCTAAATGATAAGTTGCAGCCTGGTGTATTTTGAAATGGACCAAACATAAATCCGCCTTAAATAGGGGGTTTTAATTGGAAGCCACACTGACCCTTAACTCCAGCGGTGCTACCACACAGCTTGCTATAATGAAGACTGACAAATTGTCTTAGCTGGATGCAGGCTTTCAATTTACTTCACTAACGTCCTTGCCATACTAAGCGTCAGGAATGAAATACACATTTCACAGCTGTTGGGAAGTCTATGGTGATCTACAGTACCATCTGCTGAACAATAATGGGTCCTTCCATTGTGGGAGCAGGTGCCTCAAAGAAGCCAGGGCAAAGGAGGGGCAGAAAAATTTCCTATTCACTAGCAGTGGGAAGTTTACGCCTACCTGCTGAACTACTCTGGGTTTCCATTGCACTTAACTGTGTGATCACCTGTCTTGCTTCAAGGTCATGATGGCCCGGGGTTGAAAATCTTTCCCAGGGTCCTGTTGAGTTTTTAGAAGGCAAAGAAAGCAGCAAAGAGCCACCCTGTCTGTTTGGGAGGTTGCTATTTAGCTAAGATTGAGACCAATCCAGGAAACGAAATTTTGAGGCCAAAATTAAAATAGCACATTTGTTCCTTGCAATTTGACTTTAGAATCCCCTAAGGCTCTTTAGCACAGAAAGCCTTATTTTTTTCATTTGAGAGATGGTGTGCACCATATGGATTATTTTTTTGTTTTACAAATTACATTTGCCAAGAGTGCCTTGGTGACACACAGCACTTCATTTCCATGAGGGTCCCTGGAGATAACATGTACTTTCAAACCTATTTGTATTTCTTTGGGTAAATGTAAACATGCAACAGAAAACAATTCTATTTAGCAAATAATACTCTCATCATTTTTAGGCAGAATAAGTCATAATTACAGCAGGTCTGGACGATCACTATCACTTAATGTTCAAAGAGCACCAACTCCAACCTAGGTAAAAAATCAGAAAACAAAACAGAGTGAGGAAAGATCCTTGCCCCCAAGAACTCACAGGCTAAATAGCAGATGTATACTGTGTATACATGGCGCTCCTGATTTGACTGAGTCTGCTGGGGAAGTAAGTGAAACAACTGGTCAATTCAAACAGTTCATTTGATTTTTCCCACATTGAGCTGCCAGTTAGTTTGACTGAATTGATTGACCAAACTGATTCATTATTTTGTCCTCTGAAAGGCACAAGCACTGTGAAGACAAGGAAAAAAGACATGATGTGAGTAAGGAAGAATGGGCCAATATTCTTGGAAAGAGACGTGAACAAAAAGAAGTCGTGTGAGCTTTTCCATTCTCCACCATCTTTGTTGCCCATCGTGGCTGAGGGTGTCACATAGAAGACTGTGGTTCTCTGGGACTGACTGAAAGCACACTCCAGTAGACAATGATGACAGTATGGAGGGTTAGGGTTGGTTTTTTTTTTTAACTTTTTATTTGAGTGGCATTAAAAGTTCTTCAAACCTTCTCCAGAGTTCTTGGCTATGTTTTACCAAGGTTGGCAGTCTCAGAATAACAGGCTCTCTCAAAAGCTTTCCAGTGCTTTCTCATTGGCTCTCTCAAAAACTGACTTGAGATTGCAATTTAAATCTGAAGAGTTCAGTCACTGTTCTTAAGAGGCAGTATAGTTCAAATCCTGCCTCTGACATTCACTAGCTGTGTGACCTTGAGCTAATGGCTTGACTTTTCTGAGCTTCATTTTCTACATTTTATAACAGGGGTAATCAGACCTGAAGTAGTTATCTCACAGGATTGTCACAAGGTTCAAATGAGCAGGCAGACCATTAAGTATTGCATTCTTGAAGTGCTATAGACCATTAAACACTATATAAATGTATGTTATTAAAGAAATGTCTCTTTAATTACTCAACCACCCTAAAGCTAAGGTCCTTTTCTTTCTTTTCTAGGCAGTATTCAAAACATACTCATATTAACAGCACATAGAGAAGGTCCTTGCCCTTTGCATAGCTTTCTGAAGTTTACTTTTGTAGGTGTGGTTTGGGGTAAACAGAATTGACTGGACTTTAGGAGCTGTTGGGGGTCAGTTAATACTTGGATGTTGTAACCCTATTTCTAAGGTCAGACTGAAGGAAAATTGTGAAGTGGCAAAGTTTATCTTAAGTGTTCCTCTGGGCCTATATAAAGGAAACAGAAAGCTGTTCATTATTATCTAACAAGTTTAAAGATGGCATACATGGATGTTACTGACCGTGGATCGTTGCCCCAAGTTCTGTATTTACACAAGTTGGTCCAGTTCTTAGGGCTATGCAAAATATTTCGTTTCTTCTTTGGTTTGTTATGTAGAGCGAATCTGGGAAAATCTCTGGATATTGTTTGTGCCTAGGTCTATATAGATCCCATACAAGCTCTCTTTAATGCATACCTCAGACAGGACAGCCTTTATTTTGCCCCTTAGAAATTCAAGCAAAAAATAGAAGGGCTCTTAATGCACAGAGGTCAGAATAACCCACAGCAAATCAACACAATTCTTCTCCCTTTTCACATGGTCCTAAAGTCCTCCAAAGTCATAGCATTTCCCTCATGAGGGAAATGAATTTGAAGTAACTTATGGATCAACACCTCTGACATTTCGCTGAATCTTTTATTGTTGTCTAGTCATTTTTTTCAGTCATGTCCAACTCTTCATGACCCCATTTGGAGTTTTCTTGGCAAGGTTACTGGAGTGGTTTGCCATTTCCTTCCCCAGCTCATTAGACAGATGAGGAAACCGAGGCAAATGGGGTTAAATGACTTGCCCAGGGTCACACAGCTTGTAAATGTCTGAGGCTGGATTTGAACTCAGGAAGATGAGTCTTCCTGACTTTAGGCCTGACATTTTATCTACTATACTACCTAGCTGTCCCTCACTGAATCTTACTTTCTATATATCCCATCTAGAATCCTAGACTCAGAGCGCTACCCTATGGTTTGGAATCCATAGAATGGAGATGCACTTGGGGATGATAGACAAGCAAATCCTAACCTCATCAGACCAATACCATCCAAATAAGACACAATAAAAGCAGAATGGAAAGTTCAGGCCTTGCTCCCCCATATTATGGTTTAGTGACATGTTGATCTTCCTTTTGTCACTGGGGGCCAGATGTATGATAGTCCTCTGTTTACAGGAGGTGTGAAACTTAGGAAAGTACTCTCCTCTCTACAGAAGACCAGTTCTTAAGACTCTGTAACGTGGAGTTGTTCTTGAGACAATCCTGAGGCTGGTGCTGTCCAAGAAACTCTCTTTTCTCTAGTTTAAAGGTTAAACTCTGGCAACACGCTGCCTAGGAAATTTCCATTCTCCAGCTAGAAGGCCAGATTCTAGAACTCTTCAGCTTGGGACTCCAGTGGACAATCATGAGGAATTCACACCCTTTTGCCCTTGGTTCCCCTCTCCTTGGTTCTTATGTGATTGAGAGATTATGCCACTACCTATCCAAGACTGGGTCCAGGGACTCAACCTTGCCCATGACTTCTCCTTTCAGGTCATGGGGGTGAGCATATCTGCTTCTGCAATATGCTCTTCCTTAGGCAGCCCTGCCCCTGGGCAGGGAATCTTACTGCCTTCTCCATCTTAAGAATTAGGTCCACTCTTACCTTTATGCTACTTTGAGGCTGGAAAAAGGGAAGGAAAAAAAGTGTAAGCTCTCATCTAGATTCTAGATACCAAGGTATGGCTCCTCCCCCCGAAATCCATTCTATAACAGTGAAAGCCAACCAGTTCATATTGAGATAAGTTCCATCAGTGAATTCCACCCTTCAGTAGGCACCAAAGGTTAATTCTAACCCCTCCTTCAGAAGACATAATTAAAGTCCCACACAAAGGTGCAGGACCCTTTAAGTCTGCCAATGTGGTCAGTGAACTCCCTTGAGTCAATTACAGATTTATTTCTGACAAATTGCCTGGAAATGGAATTTCTGAATTTTCCCACTGACTTTCAATTTAGAATGGTAGATGCATTCTTCTAGAAAACATTTTGACTTCAAAGATATGATCAAATTTCACTTAAGAATGCAAAAAATAATTAAAGGAAACTATAAATGAGCAACAGTGATAAAGCTCATAATAACTTGTTTCTGTATTTGAAGAGTCAAAGAAAAAAACAGTGACAGCTTAACTGAGCGGAAGACACCAGGCTAAAAAGTCACTTTGCTTCTCTAAAATCTGCCCCAGTTTTTTATTTATTTTTTAAACAGAAGGAGAACATGCCCTTTTCTTTGGTTGCTTGGTACTGGTCTTAGCACTTTGTAGAAGCTGACGGTTTTTATTTTGTTTTTTTGTTTTTGTTTTTGTTTTTGTTTTGGTGAGGCAATGGGGTTAAGTGACTTGCCCAGAGTCACACAGCTAGTAAGTGTTATGTGTCTGAGGCCGGATTTGAACTCAGGTCCTCCTGAATCCAGGGCCGGTGTTCTACATACAGCACTGCCTAGCTGCCCCAAAGCTGATGATTTTTAGAGGCTGATAGATCAGTTTGGGCTGAAGTGAAAGGCACAAAGCGTTAACAACTGAATAACATCCATTGAAGAAATTTAGGAATATGTACATTAAAACATACCACTTGGGGAATAGATAAAATCATTGTAAAATGAATCATCAGGTAGTTTTTTGACCCAAATTCTGTAAATTTGAATTCCCATATACTAAGTTTGTGTATAATGATCACATAGGTCAAGAGCTGGAAGGGACCACAGAATGCATCTAGTCCAAGTACCTATTTTATAAATGAGGAAACTGAGCCCCGGAGAGATTGTGACTTATCCCAGGTTACGTAGGTGGTTTCGGAGGAGAGATTTAGACTCAGAGATTTGACTCTAGATTCAATGTGCCTTCTCTTCCATCAACTAAATAATTCCATTTCCTTTAACCTTTTCTCATGGAGCCCCTTTCCCACCCTTGACTCATTTTTGTTGTTCTTTCTGGACCTTTTCCAAATTCTCCCTATTTTATTTCAGTCCCCAAGCCTGAAGCTAAACTCAGTGCTCCAGTAAGAGGCCTACACAAAGTTGAGAGTAAAGGGCGGATTACTTTGTGGTTTTCACATGCCATAGACTGATGCACTAATCCATAAAATATCCCCATAAAGTATTTTGCCCTCAATTACAAGGGGAGAAGCTCAGGCATAGGCGGCAAGAGTGAAGGACTTGTGCTAACGTTGCAAAAAACCCATGGTAAGGACAGCATCTTTCCTCTGAGGCCATTTTTCAATTGACTCCAGCCCTTTGCCTCTACTCGTTTTCAGGAGAAATGCCACAGAAATCCTCTCTGTCAAATTAGAATGAGTAAGATGTTGGCTTTGGGTTTTATAAGTACATAAATGGTGTTTGAATTTTAATACAGCTAGAGGGGGTCAGCCCTGGGCACCAAGTTATAAATGTAGAGATTAAAACCATGTGGAAGCAAAAATCAGAAAGAAGTCTGCAAATTGAAAGGGCTTGGTTCATTTGGTTTTTTTTGGTATTGGCTGTTACCTTTTAATCTATGAATCCCAAACAGATAATTGGAGCACAACCCTTAAAAGGCATGAAACTTAATGGCTCCTTAATCCTTCTCTTCCCCCTGTCCTTTTAACAGAGGATTTCAATTAGGCCAGTTGAGGAAGTACAAAAAACAGCTCAGGTTTCACAATTCCGAAAATTTTCATCTCTTGATGACACACCTCCATGACAAACAGCATGCATGATTTATTATTGTCCACCTTAATTCATAGGTCCAGGGACAGCAGGAAGGCACCTGTTTAGTTCATGCTGAGGACCCTCACATCTAGCACACTCAAGGACTGTGTGTCCATTGGTGCTTGATATCGCTTGCTGCTGAAGAAGCTAGGTACAAGCACCAAGCTTTTACCTCGTGATTGCAAGAGGTTGGGGATTCCCCTTCCACCGAGTTCTTCAGTTGGGGGTTGGAGGATTACTGGTCAGATATATTATGACCAGGGTTCCCTTTGTATGTAGACTGGACCACATAGCCACAAAGAGTCCTTCGACCTTTCAAATTCTGTGATACTGTGACCTGAACTAGATCTGATTCATGGACGCAGACAGCATCAACATCCAGTCTAGTTCCCTGTGAGTCTTGCACCATGGCTATGGGTCAATGACACAGGGAAGGATTCCTTCAGCTAGTCTTTGAAGACAAACCCTATTCTTTTACCAGGCCTCTATTGGCAAAGTGAATTGAGACAGAGGAATTAAGGACCTATTTATCTGCCATAAAAACCAAACATCAACACTGTTTGATGATTATTTCCAACAAGGAGACATGAAAACCGCGTCGTTGTTTTCTTCCCTGAATTCTCTAGGTCATGGTTTCAAATTTCCACTTTACTTTTGTATTGGAAACCCCACTTTTTCATTTTGTTCCATGGGAATTCTCCTTTCATGGAAGGCTATGCTCTGATGGAGATTTTCCCTGTGAGGTTTAAAAAAAGTAGCATTT